GTTGGGATCGGGCTGTTGGGGAAATGATGGCTGTGGGAAGGGCAATGGGATGCGCGAGGGCTGGGGCGTGATGGGGGCTCCTGCTGCAGCGTTCGAGGATCGCGGCGCGTGGGAAGGGGATTTTGTGCCTTGGGAGGTGTTGGTTGGGGCCCGGTAAGGGGTCGATTAGTATGAGAAACTAGCCTGGGGTCTCAGACTTGTCTGTGGTTTGGGAAACATTGCAAGAAGTTGGGGTTGAAGGTAACCGACTCAGAGAGATATTTAAACATACTGTAATTCAGCGGGCTAGTGAGAGTGCACATAGCAGCGCTCAGGAAGTTCATGATGACTCCTGTTCAGCTGGTCTGATCTGGGATACCCATGCAAAGTGCAAGGGTATAAGGACTTTCTGCAGTTGTGCTTTGTCTTCTATGTTGAAATACATTGCTAAGGCAAAAGACGTCACCTCCTTTTTTACATTTGGGGCAACTGAGGCATGGGCTGGTGAAGGTATTTGCCCAAGGTCACAGACAAAACAGGTACTGAAGAGGACCTGGGTCTCTAGATCATAGTGCTTCCACCTTTAAATGAAGCTCTTGGCTTCTGGCGTGCTTATTTGAATGTATTTATTTGTTATGAGCTGCTTGGACTGCATCCAGGCCTGCTGCATCTGGGTTAAACCAGTAGCTGAAACCTGTTTCTCCCAGAGCGCTGGCTGCCCTGGTGAAAGTCTGCACAGCACCACAGCCCCTCGTCTCAGGCAGGACACCTAAACCCCAGGGGCAGCGGAGGGCTGCTCACCCTTCCTGGGCTGCACAGGGCTGCAGACCCAAGGCTCGTTCTCGTTCGTGTGTCAGTCCAAGGGAGCTGTGGTGCTTCTGCTGCTCCTGCAGAGCTGGGCAGAGGGAGGCTGTGTCTGTCCATCCTTGACAAGCCCAAGGTGATGGGGAAGCCGAGTTTGGCAGGAAGGGAGACGGTGTGCACTGAGAGCTGGGAAGAGTGCACGGAGGAGTTGTGTGGGTGCAGGTTGGAGCTGCAGAGTGGGGTGAGTGTGGTATGTGTGGCAGCGAGAATCCCAAAGCTGCAGGTCATGATGTGAGAAGTGGGGATCTTTGCAGGGGGTCAGGACTCCACCTTCTCTTTGTGAGGTGCCTCTCTGGATCATCTCTGGTTGCTAAGGATGGTCTAGCAGTTGGCAGGTCTTTTCTTGGGACTAGAAAGTTTCCCCCCAAAGCAAGGGCCTCCCCGTTCCTGTTCTTACCTCTTTGCAAGGAAGCATTTGGAAGGTCTCTAAGAGGTAAGAACAGGAACGGAGAGGCCCTTGCAAGGAAGCATTTGGAAGGTCTCTAAGGTGATCGTTCACTCCACACATTAATCCCCTTCCCCAGGCCTTGTTTCAGTGGGTTGGGACAGGCAGTGAAGTTCTGCACCCTCATCCACTGCTGCCATACACCCAACAGCAAAAAAGCCAGGGAATAAATGTGGTAAGGACAGGGGACATGGAGTTGCCTGTGGTCATAAGACACTGGGCGTGTGAGAGAGATCTGGGAGCCAGGAGTGCCTGACTCTGCCCCCTCCTCTTTTCTGTGATCTTAATCAGATCACTTCACCAGCCCCTGCTTCTCTTCCCTCTCCACACAGTCCAGCACCACTCGTGTGCTGTAAATGCTCAGGATCACAACCTCTGATGTTACCACCAACTCTTCTATCCACCTTTCTCTATCCCTTTCCTGCACAGCCCCCTCACTCTGTGTTAGTCCTCGCTAAATTCCCCATGCCCCTTCCTAAAGCTGAACTGAGCAGCTGACAGGTTTGGCTGTGAAATGTCCTCCATCATCTGGAGGTGATCATCTGGAGGTGAGGATGTTTCACCACGTGCAGTCTCGCTTGCCTCTCTCTGAGGCTTGGGAACGACCTAGCCTCTTCAGAAAAGGCAAGAATCATCCTGAGCTTTACTGACAGCCCTCACCCATTAGCAAACTGGGAAAAGTCCAGTTAACCTTTCCTTCTTTAAACACAGCAAAGCTCTTCATTTCCATGCCCTTCTGCAGTTCCTAATTTTGGCCAGACCTGAAGGAGTCACCATTCCCCAGGGTATTTCTGGTAAAGCTGAAGGCAGGAGAACTTTCCCAGGAGAACTCGACCTTGCAGGCTTGGAATGATTTGGGAAATCTTGGGAACTCCTAATTGCTTGAGTAAATGACTCCTTCCCGCTAATGGACGCTGTTCAAACCAGGCTTGTCCCCACCACAAACCAGCTGTGACTTGCCATAGAGAGCGCAAAGGAGACGTGAGTCCTCCAAATGCTTTGGAGCATCTGGAGTCGGGTGAGCCCTCCAGATCAGCACGTTCGGCTGGGGCACCTGCAGAGCTCAGAGGTTGCTCTGCAGCTGCGGGTCTGCGAGCCCCAGCAGCCTGGGTCGCCCAGCACTCGCCTTGCTTTGTGCCCTGGGCTGGCAGCTGCAGCTGCCTGTGCTGCTTAGGTGCTCCCCGAAGAGCTGCTCTGATCTCTGTTGGTGCTGGTCTCCCTTTTCTTCCTTGTCAGTTCTTTAAATTCTGCTGGTTTTCTTTTCTTTCCTTGTCTTTGTAGGAGGTGTCACAGAGAACAGAGCAGGCCAGACACTGACATGATGGGGTCTGCAGCCGGGGAGCGCACGCCCAGGTTGAGCTGGGCCCGGGTGCTGGCAGAGGGAGGCAGTTGCAGCTGTGCAGGAGCAAGGGAAGGAGGGTAGTGCTGACCTCAGCAGGGCCTGTAGGAGAGAGAAGAGGCCCACGTAGCCTTCTCATGAGGCGCATCACATCCATCTCCAGGAGTGACAGGTTGGGAAAGACTCTGTGGTGCATATGTCTTGCTGGCTGATAGGACAAGCAGCTCAGTTTTTACATACCACTGTGCTTGGCAAGCTCCATCCTGGTGGCTTCCCGCTCTGAGCTTAGCAGAGGCTGAGTGAGGATTTGCTGAACTTGTGGGGTTTGACCCTTATGTGAGCACATTATAAATTCATCTCACGCCAGCTGCATCTGCTTCCTGCCCCATAACAGGCCCCAGGACATCTGAGCCACCACCTCAACCCCCCCTTGAGAAGGATGTGCCACTTGGATCGTGTCACTTCTTTTTGCAAACCTGCACGTTCCAGGATGGCTCGTTGCCTTGGCCTTTGAGCCCATCTGCACAGCCTTGCTGGATCTACCTGTCTTACTCCTTGTCTGGAGTTAGTTGCATTTGTGGAAGTGCTGATTTCAGGGTCCTAAAGGCTCCCTTTTTTGTTGTTTTGTTTGTTTGTTTGTTTGTTTTTTACCAAGCAGATGTTTTATAGTGTACAGAACAGAAGTTGGATCAGTCTCCATCCACCCAGGTCAGCACTAAGCTTTGTGGTACCCCTGCAATGCCAGTTGGTGTGCTGGGAACTTGTCCTACCTCCAAGAAGCCAAGCTGCTTTGATTCCACCAGGATTAAATAACGCAATCTCTGTCCAGCTTGACAGCTTGGAGAGGAAAGTCCCTCATCTGTATCTAGCCCTTTGCGAGCTCCCTGTGTTCCTTCGCAACCCGCACTGATAGCATCCCTATTGCAGACACTCCGAGCCTCTCTGGGTGCTGACATAAAGGTGAGACCCATGGATGCTTCAGTCAGAGTGGGTCAGAATGATTCTGCCTCCATCGTTCGTGGTGGCACCGACTGCTCCCGAATGAGCGCGTGAGCTTCGCAAGGCATTGGAGGGGGGGGGGCGGTCTCTGGTGGAATTTGGCTCCCTGAGCAGTGCAGGCTGGAGCATGTGAACTGCAGAACATCCTTGTGGGTGGAGGAGAGGATCTGTCACTTGGAAAAGTGTTTTAGCCCAGTCACGTCTTTATTCTCCCACTTCGTCTTCTATCTTCCTCCTTCCAAGCAGAAGGAGGCATCTCTGAGGGCCCGTCTGTTGGTACAGTCCATGTGCAGCAATCTCCCAATCTCTAGAGCCACTTCCAGTCCCTTTTCTTCCAGCCTTGCTGAGATCACTTGAATATTTTTCCCCAAATAACTCATTTTTAGGGGGATATGATTTAGTTCATTTTAAGTGTGAGACTTAAGGATGAATTAATGGCAGCCGAGTGCCTGGAATCCTCTGGTGGCTTTGGAACATTTTGACATTGGTATTGCCTGATGAGAGCTTGTGATTGGCAGACACCAAAGTCAACCAACCACAGGACAGAATCCTGTAGGACACCAGATGTCATTAGTTCTGCTCGTCATAACAGTCTCCTCTCTCTTTCTCCACTGATGTTTTTATTTCCCAATTTGTATTTGAACTTCCTCCATAGCATCCATGTCCCAAAGTCGGGGCCCAGGTGGATGTGCCCTCTCTGTTCTGCGCAAACGGGAAGAGATACTGAGGGGGAAATCAGCCTTTGTGCTGCAAAGGCTGTGGCTGTCTTTACCGGTTCACTTGCCGGTCTCTGAAAGTGTTTCACGGCAGCCTGTCTCTCTCCCCTTTCCTTTCCCAAGAGTTTGGAGTGTAAGTGCATGAGACGGACAGAGGGAGGAGGGAGAGATGGGGTTCACGTGTGTCAGAGAAGCATCTTAGTGTCGTTCTGGAGGAGAGGAGGGAAGGTCCCCTGGGGACAATTGCCATGTCACTCTGGATTTCAGGTGTGACGCTTCAGTCGCGAGGTGGCAGGCAGCTTGGAGATGCGTCGGAGGGCAGGGGCAGCGGTGGCACTTGCGTTGGGGATAGGATGCAGATAGAGGCCTGGCCCACAACTCCATGGCCTTGCAGGGGCTGTGGCGTGGCATCAGAGGGGAGACAAGACTGGAGAAGTGACCTCTGGCAGGCGTCTGGAGTCATCTGCGCATTTCGGGAGAAGGGGGGTGGGCAGCCGCTGGCTCTCCTGGGAATCTTGCCAGAAGTCCTGCACACAAGTCTTAAATACAGCAGAGCAACGTGGCCAGAGTTGTTCCCTGCCTGTGGCGGAACAGGGATTGCTCCGCTTTGATGCAGTAATTAGAAGCCATTGAGTTCATTAACTGACAGCTCCAGAAAGGCTGGTGATATTTCTAAGGATTTTCCCTATAGAGAAGGGCAGCCAGGTATGCTTGCGAGCTGTGGCTGGGAACCAGGCTCCTTCCAGGGGGACAAATAGGACTGTAACCGAGTGGGGGCATCGCACAGGGGCTGTGCTTCGAGCCATCGCAGGAGCAGAGGGAGTAAGCAGGAGCCAGTAGGTCTCTTCTTGCAGGGAGCAGAGTGAGCCCATGGAAGAGACTTGCTCTTCGCTTGTCAGTCACCTCCCGACTCCCTGCTCTGTGACGCTGTACAGAGAAAACAGGTTTATAACTCTCCGAACAGATGGTCCTGCGTGGTGACTAATGAACTGTTTGCTGCCTGTCTCGGGCTCTCTGTGAGGCCTGTCTGAGTGGAAGAGGGCTCCTCTGATCCTTGCTGGTGCCAGCCTCTCGGAAGTTAAGCAGTTGCTCAGCCCCTTCTTGGGTGACCATGGATTGCAGCCACGGGGAGGCTGTTTCACCCCAGCGCGGGCAGTTCAGGGACGCTTTGCTGCCTCTGCCTTTTGGTTGCTGCGCACGGGGCTGGACGAGGCAGATCTTGCCAGATGCTTTCCAGCCTTTGCACAGCATGGTTTCTGCTGGCTGTGACCTTCCCAGCAGCTACGCCCACGGGAAAGCTTGCTCAGGGAGTTAATTCGGTCCCTCCATCCTCTTGAGGCATCCGTGTGCCCTCGGACGATGCTGCTACCCAGGAAGAGCACCTGACACATCTCGCTGTGCGTCCTGGGGTGGCTGCACAGCGGCTGGGCAGGCCCATTTTTGAGTGCATTATGGGAGAGCCCTGGGAGGCCTGGCTGAAACTGGGGCAGCTGCTTCGCTTTCTGTCTGTCCCTCGGCCGCGAGCGCGGCCGGGCGCACGTACTTCCTCGGGGTGGGGTGGGGACGGGGGCCTCGGCCCGGCCCCACATGCACAACTCGCTGGGAGAGTGCGAGTGCTGCTCTCGCAGCACATATGGAGGGAGCGTTTGATGGCTCCTGCCATGGTCTGACAGGCCCCCACCCTAAGGAGGGCCCTTCCAGTTCCTTCCCTCTCTCTCAGCATCTTCCACCTTTGTTTTACCAGTCAGTTCAGCTGTTTGTGGCACTGCTAGCCAAAGGCCTTCTCCAGCCCCAGGCTGACTGTACCTCTCGCTGTCCAGCTCTGTGGCATGTGTTCAGGTCTGCTTCTCCCGAAGCATTTGCGCAGGATCGCTGTGAGCAGAGCAGCCCTCGGGGCTTGTGTCCTGGCTCTGATAGCAGGCCGACCTGCAAAGCCGAGAGGCTGCGACCAGCTCAGCATCTCAGCCCCGCGGCTTCCTCCCCCGTTCCTGCCATCCAAACTTCCCGTGTGTCCAAGAACAACTCTCTGCTCTCCCCAAGGCTAACTCATTTCTGCTAATCAGCCAGCCTGGCAGAGGTAACGAAGCGTAATTAACTGCTCCCTTTACACATAAACTTGGCTCTGTGGGAGGGTTTGTTAAACAGATTTCTAGAGCAGCTAGCGACTGCAGCGCTACTCCAGACCAGTGCTGGGAGCCAGGGCCTAGGGAAGGGAGTACAGGCATGTTGGGTAGGATCCTGCCCAAAGCCTCTCTGGTGCTTGTAGCCCCAGAGAGTGCAGCTGCCACTGTCTGGGCCCCCATCTCCGAGACAGATGTGCCCGGCTTCAGCACCAGCTCGGGCTCAGCATGATCGTGACAGGGAGACACTGGTCCATTTGTTTGTCTGCTGGTAAAACTACTACCCCCAGCCAGAACAGTCTGGTGCCCGTCTCCACCGTGCTGTGATGCCCTGGCCCACACGGAACTGCAGAGGGTGGCTGGAGGGCAGGCAAGGAGGGCTGGCTTGGTGCGGGGACAACTGACCCTGGCCGTTTCGTCTTGCTGTGAGCCAGGGGGCGGCGAGCAATGTCCCCTTTGTGTGTCTTGGGTGCTGTTTCTGCAGGTCTGCAAATCAGGGTTTCCCATGCTGGCTCAGAGGGGGCTGGAGGCTATCACCGTGCGAGGGGCAGAGGACGGTGCAGGGAGGTGCTGTGGGGTCTGAGTCAGCAGACAGCTGGTCTGACACCCTCCTTTGCTGCACAGCTGCTGCTCCCGAGTGAACATGCATCTCTTGACGTGCTGCAGCCCTGTGCTGTCATGCTCATGGCTAATTCGAACCCGTTCACTGCAGGAGCTTCAAATTCATTACTCCTCCGGACTCGGCACTGACTTGCGGCTCTGGGGAGACTGACTGAGTGCTTTCCCTCCCTTGCTGTTAAGTGGCTTGTGGTGGCATGGCAGCCGAGACTGGCAGAGAAGGGTGTTGATCAGCGAGATCCACGGGGACACAAGCATCAAGTGCTTCTGGCTGGCCAGGAGCAGGCGCTAGGAACGGCCTGGGCCGACCAGGAACAAGGATGCTCTAAGGAGCGTGTCAGCAGGGACAGGAGCGGGAGGCCCAAGTTAATGCTGTCTGTTCTCTCTTCTGTGTCTCTCTGGAACTGGGAAAGGAGCGGCAGAAAAAAGCCAGGTTGCCTGAGAACAGCGACGGCTCCAAGGACTCAGACAGCTCTGCAGGACGCCGGGGCAGTGCAAGCCGGAAACACGGGCGATGGCGGGGACGGCCAGACAGCCCCGGGGCACTGGTGTCCAAGGTGGTGAGAGCCGTCACAGCGAAACACAAAGTGGGGCGGAGGCTGCCAGCCGCGCCGGACTCCGCCAGCCAGAGGAACCTGACGGAGCGGCACGGGGACGCCCAGCTGGCCGTCTTCCAGCAGGGTGACACGGGCAGCGTGGAGGGAGCCCCCCAGCCCACTGAGAACAGCTTCACCCCCAAGTGTGAGATCACGGGCAAAGATGCCCTCTCAGCGCTGGCGCGGGCCAGCAGCAAGCAGTGCCAACAGGAGATCGCCAACGTGGTGTGTCTGCACCGGGCCGGCAACCTCATGCCACAGTCTGTGCCCCGCCACTGCCAGCTCTCAGGTGAGTCTTGCTGGCGTGCTGGGCACATGGGCCACCTGCCTTGTGTGACCAAACTCTTCCACCTTGCAAAAAAATGTCTCAGTCTGTCACTGATTCCCAGATTACGGCAGCCTCTGTAATCCGATCAAAGCTGTGCTGGCCTCCTTTAAGCTGGGCTGCTTCATCCAGCCCAGCCCAGCCCAGCCCAGCGATGGCTGCAGAGATCAGGGCCAAGCGCAGCTGCACCCTTCTGTTTTGAGGGGCTGGAGGAGGGTGTCCCCACCTTCCCAACACATCCCTGTCAATGTGGAAGAAGACAGAAAGGGCTGCATGCACTGCCGTGCCCTGCCCTGCGTTCCCTGGAAGCGTGATGGGGTTTGCCCTGGGCCACACTGGTCCCTGTGACTCCCCCTTGGTCAGATCCCCCCCTTGGGTTTGGGAGCTTTGTGTGGTGGGGTGCTGGGGTGCCTCATGCTGTCCAGAGGCTGGCGGGGGGGGGGGCTCCCCACGCAGGGAAGGTCAGCCCCGTGATCCAATGGGATGAGAGCCGGCTGCAGCAGGCACCCCCCAGCAAGCCGGTGCGCATCGCATACATGCTGGTTGTGCACGGCAGGGCCATTCGCCAGCTGAAGCGGCTCATCAAGGCGGTGTACCACCAACAGCACTTCTTCTACATCCACGTCGACAAGGTATGCGGGAGGGGTGGCCGCTCCCAGCTGGCTGGGAAGAGGGGAGGGGATGCTGAGGGGACCTGGTTTAGTAACAGGGACAGGCAGTGAATGAAGTCATTATCCCCTGTGGGGCCTCAGTGCTGGAGGAAGTGGCTAGGTAGGGTTTGTCCCTCCTGCCTGAAGACCTGTGACCCCTTCCCCTCAGCTCCACATCCCTGGATGGGGGCAGCTGCAATCTATCCCCCTTGCACAGAGCAGTCTTGTCTCACCGCTCTCCTCCCTGCAGAGGTGGCTGTGTGAGCCGGGAGCTTAGCCCCTTGGGCACATCCCCCTGCACAGGCAGCAAATGGAGCTTCCCCTCAATGCTGCTGCTTTCTCGTTTGGGCAGGGCTCAGACTGTTTGCCCTCTCCCAGCCCAGAGAGTGTAACATCTGCACTCTGCTCCTTCTGCAGCCTGCTCCTTATTTCTGCATGCTGGCAACAGCCAAGAGCCAAAAGGCTAGCAGCAAAACACCACCCATCCCAAGGATCACAAGATCCCAGAGAGATGTGTGGAAATGCCTGGCAGAGCTCATTGGAAGGAAAAGACTGGCTGGATCAGGCACTCTGTTCTGTCTTGGTTGCCTGCTTTTTCTCTCAGCCACATGAGTTGCCCGGTCCATGTGTCCTGAGCAAGCAGGGCAGGTCATAGGATTGCTCCTGCACGGAGCTGCCTCTGCTGCTCCTTGGGGGCCCCTTCAGAGGTGGGCTGGGGAGTCTGGCCAGCCTGCAGGCTGGTTGGAAGCACAGCAAGGTGCTGTGGGTACCTTGTGGTGCCCAGTGGGCATGAAGGGATGTCTCAGCTGTTCTAGGAAATGGACGGGGTCTGGCTACATTAACACCCTTTCCGCCGCTCTGGTCCAGCCTATGACAGCAATCACCTGAGGTTTACTTCCAGGCCAGGCTAGAGTAGCTGACTGCTCAGTAGCCAGCACTACTCAGCAAGGCAGGCAGGGAAAGAAAGATCGCGACGCACAGGCAGAGCAGGGCTGACTCAGGGCAGGTAGCAAGGAAGGCAGGACCCCGGGAAGACAAGCTCCCTGCTGATCAAGAGTCTTGTTCCCTGGCAGCGTTCCAACTACCTCCATCGGGAGGCATTGGAGCTGGCCCAGCACTACCCCAACATCCGTGTGACGCCCTGGCGCATGGTGACCATCTGGGGAGGTGCCAGCCTGTTGAAGATGTACCTGCGTAGCATGAAGGACCTGCTGGAACTGGCTGAGTGGCCCTGGGACTTCTTCATCAACCTGAGTGCCACCGATTACCCCACGAGGTGGGGACCCTGCTGGGTCAGGGGAGGACAGTGGGAGCAGTGCTGTTGGGAGGTGTAAGGAAGAGCAGGGAGCTCAGGGCAGATAGGGCTGGCGATTGCACCCACATGCTGGTGATGATGCTCCAAGACCAGGCTGGTCCTATCTCTGCTGAGGAGCCCAGCCAGTACCTTGGAGGCTGTTTTTTCCTGTGGTCTGGGTGCTGCAGGGTGAACGCACATGTAAGTACATGTGAATATGCAGGCGTGCACCACCCCACACACCCTTACCAGGCGCCAGACAGCAGAGGGGCTAGATCTGTGTTTCCCCAGCAATGTGATAAGGATTTGAGTCAGTGCCTGTGAAGCAGCTTTTTAGGCTGCCCGTGTCTGGTAGCTGTTTGCAGCTTGAATATTTCCTGGGCTGCTTTACTTCAGGGGTTATTAACCCTTTCTATTTTGCATCTCAGGACCAATGAGGAGCTGGTGATGTTCCTGTCCAAATACCGAGATAAGAACTTCCTGAAGTCTCATGGCAGAGACAACGCCAGGTAACCCCGAATGGGGTCAGGGCCGAGCTGGAGGAACGAGGAGGGCAGATTTCTGGGAAGAACTAAAACACTCAGGGCAGGGGGCTGTCCCGGCTGTGGCTGCCAGGAGCATAGCAGTGCTGGTGTGGGGCCAGATCTCTCACGGGTGTCACCCTGTTGGCTTTACGCTGTCAGAGATCCACCCTGTGTCCCAGCAGAGCGCATGGCACCCTTAGCCCTGCTTGCAGCTATGGGAGGACCCTCATACTCCGCCCTTGTCCCCGTGCCCAGGTTTATCAAGAAGCAGGGCTTGGACCGCCTGTTCCACGAGTGTGACTCCCACATGTGGCGGCTGGGTGAGCGTCACATTCCTGAGGGCATCGTGGTGGATGGGGGCTCTGACTGGTTCTCGCTGACACGCAGCTTTGTGGAGTACGTGGTCTACGCAAACGACCAGCTGGTGTCCCAGCTGCGGCAGTTCTACACCTACACGCTCCTGCCAGCCGAGGTGGGTGCTGCTGGTTGAGGGGAACAGGCAGGGGCAGCTCAGAGCCACCTTCGTAGTGAGCACTGGTGTGTCCCCGTCTCAGCTACATTCATTCTCCCCAAGACACAAAAAGAATGATGCTGGCTTTGCCTGGATCTTCTTCCCACTGCAGTTAACTTCTCTGTCCCATTTCATACGTGCCCTGGGTAGCTGTTAAGGGCAATGCAAAACGCTGCTGTTTTGCTCTGGCAGCTTTGTGCCTCTGCTTTGCCCAGGCCTGGGAGAGAGGGGCAGATGGGCTGAGGGTCGTGTTTGTATCCAGCCTGCTTTAGCTCCAGACACCCCTCTGGGCTGGATAAAGACCAATGTGGGTACACAGCCTGCTCTGTTATGGGTTGCTCTGTGCTGGGAACTGGGATGGGTTTGCATTCAGGATCTATCGCAGCCTTTTGTCTGTTTTTTTAAACGTCCTCTTCCTGCGTGAGTGAGGGCCAGGGGTCTCCAATAGCCTCCCAGCCTCCATCCCCACTGAGTCTCATGTCTGTTCTCTGCTATGCACAGTCCTTCTTCCACACAGTCCTGGAGAACAGTCATGCCTGCGAGACACTGGTCGATAACAACCTCCGAGTGACCAACTGGAACCGGAAGCTGGGCTGTAAGTGCCAATATAAACACATAGTCGACTGGTGCGGGTGCTCCCCAAATGACTTCAAACCCCAGGACTTCCTACGGCTACAGGTGAAAAAGATCCTCCTTACTCCTCCTGCTCGCTCCCCTCCTCTCTGTCTCTCTTCCCAGCGCTCTCCTCTCTGAGCTCCCTTGCGGACGTGCCCCTGGGTACCTGCTGGGATGCACGTCCGCAGGGTTGGCTGCCCAGCTGTGGTGGGGCTCAGCACAGACCTGTCTGTAAATGTTTGGGCGGCGGGACTGCACTGAGTGTCCTGCTCAGCAGCCAGGCTTCTGCTTGCAATGTTGTTCCCCTTCCCATACTTTCTCCCCTATTTTCCTGCTCTCTCCCTGCAGACCTATTACTTGAGGCCAATGTCTTTTCAGTAAAACCACTTTGGAGAGCTGTCCTCTTTGGCAGTCAGAATGCCTTGTGATGAACTGTCGTCTTATAACCGTGCTCTAGCAAGCAGAGACTTGGACTGAGTGAAACAGATTTCGGAAAAGATACATCCAGCCCCAACAAGTGAAGTTAGCAGAATTTGCTTGCCAGAGGCTACGGTTTGGGGCTTATATTGTGCAGGGCCCTGATTCTGCAAGCTGTGCTGTATAGCCAAGCCCCGTGCTCTGCAGAGGCTCTGGGAAGGGGGGGGCCCATCTATGTACAGATTCCAGCTAAGGAGCTAGATGACACATGGCTGCTTCTGAGCACAGAAAGGGGGAGGCAGTGGGAGAGATGGGAACCTGTCTGTGTTACCAGTATCCACGCTGCGTGCTACCACTGATTCTGACATAGAGGATCCCACGTAGAGGCTGTTTGTGCTTTGCTGCTCTCTGGCCTGTGCCGTCAAAGGGGGCAAGATGGGTCCCAACGTGTTTCTTCCCAGTCTGTCTCACGCCCAGCTGTCATGTTGAGGTGAGAGGGCATAAGGGGTGTAGCCAGCACTGTTAGAAACACCTTTGCTTTTCCAGCAACTCTCCAGACCCACGTTCTTTGCCCGCAAGTTTGAGTCGACAGTGAATCAGGAAGTGCTGGAGATCCTGGACACGCACCTCTACGGCAACTACCCTCCCAACACACCGGCCCTCAAGGCATACTGGGAGAATGTCTACGACCGAATCGATGGGCTCAGCGGCCTCAGCGATGTCACCCTTACCTTCTACACAGCCTTCTCCAGGCTGGGGCTCCGCAAAGCCTCATCCGCACCGGCACCAAAGGCAGAGAAGCTCTGCAGGTGGGGGACATACACTACAGCGAATGCAGGTGGCCTGCATTTTGCACTGGGAGGATGCTGAGGGTCATGTGTGCAACCTCTCTCTTTGTCTCTGTCTCTCCAGATTTGAGCCCCGGGGTTTCCCATCCAGTGTGCACTTATATTTCTATGACGACCGTTTCCAGGGTTACCTGGTGATGCAGGAGGTGCAGAACTCGGCAACTGGGCAGGCAGAGTCCGTGGAGGTGTGGATGATGCCCCAAGGAACTTTGAAGCTGGCAGGTCACGGAGGGCAGGCAAACAGGTTACAAAACCTTGAGGTAAATGGGGAAAGTTCCCGTCGCAACACCCGCTTTCCTCCACTGCTTCTCCAGACCACGCTGCCCTTCCTTCTCTCCCTTACCTGTGCCCTGAGAGGAACAGCGAGATGTGATCCCTTCATTATGTCTGAGAACAAACCTTTGTCCAGGAGCTTTGCTCTGATTCCTATGTGCGGGGAGGTGTTACAGTGTGTGATGTGGAGTCATTTGATGAGGAAAAGGCCTGCATGGATCTTGTGGGAGAGCTGAGGCTGTTGATGCCCAGTGCCTGTGGCTGCGTTAGACGTCAAACGGGAAGGCAGGAGAGCAGCCAAGGATGGGTGTGCATTGCGTTGGGATGAGAGCTTAGACCCGCCTCAGTTCTGGGGAGTTGAACGCAACACCAGATTTGGCAGCATCTCCCAGCCCCGTGTCCAACTGCTGTGCGTCTCCTGTCCTTCCAGGTGGGCACAGAGTGGGATCCAAAGGAAAGGCTCTTCCGCAATTTTGGAGGCCTGATGGGGCCTTTTGACGAGCCAGTGGCCATGCAGAAGTGGTCGCGGGGGCCCAACCTGACGGCCACGGTGGTGTGGATTGACCCCACGTACGTCATTGCTGCCTCCTACGACATCACGGTGGACGCCGAGGCAGAGTTTACCCAGTACAAGCCCCCCCTCAACCGGCCCCTGCGCCCTGGCATCTGGACCATCCGCCTCCTCCAATTCTGGGAGCCCCTGGGGGAGAGCCAGTTCCTGGTGGTGCCCCAGACCTTCAACCGCAAGCAGCCTCTCAGGAAGGGTGAGGATACTCTGGAGATCAGGGCTCGGGCTCTCCCTGCAGGCAGTCCAAGGCACTTCCCCCAGTGCTGGCTTCCCTGGGCTGCAGCCGATGACAAAACAGGAGCCACCGTTCCCGGTGGTGTCCCCTTACCCACGGGAGTCCTCAAAGCAGGCCGCTGGGCAGCTGTGGATGGCCCATTTGTAGGTCATTTAGATCCCTCCTCCCTCCATCTGACAGCAGCATCCCTGCTCCCAGGTATGGGCTGGAGGAGGTCTGGGGTTGCGAAGGGATGCTGAGCCCCGCTGGGAGGGTGGTGATAACAGGAGAAGAGTGCTGGGACATTACTGCAATGCTCATGCCTTTCTCTCTCCCCGTCCTGCCCAGACGATAGCAGCTGGCTGCACGGCGGGGCCCCCCGCAACGAGTACATGGAGCAGAGCTTCCAGGGCCTGGGGGGGATCTTGAACTTGCCGCACGCAGACGAGGCGGAGAAGGACGCGATGCGGAAGGCGCAGCGGACGGGCAGAGCGCTGGATGGCTGGGCAGACAGTGCCATCAGCACCTTCTGGTCCGTGGCGGACGTCTGTGCGAGCAGCCCCTTTGTCTGCTCCACCCTGGAAACCTGCAGCAAAACCTCCTGGAGCTCACTGTCCCCGGACCCCAAATCAGAACTGGGGCCCGTCAAACCCGACGGGCGGCTGAGGTAGCAGGACCAGCTCGGGGGGCAGCGTTGGGAGCAAGGAGCGTCCTCTGTCACTGGTGTGGTGGGGGGGTTCTCTGGACTACATCACCCCGTGAGATTTGCACCATGGTCACTCGGGGAAGAGGGTATGGGAACCTCCGGGCCAGGGAAAACCTCCTGTGGGTTTTTTGGGGGCAAAGGAGGAGGTGCAAGACTGGGACCTTGCCTGCCTTCCCCAGGAACGGGCACTTGCTGGCCAGAGGAGAGCGTGCAGGGGTGCCCGTCGCCACGGGGCGCGGATGGCATTGGCGGCTGGGAAGAGTGGTGTATTTATTGCTCCAGGCCTTGGGGCCTTGGGAAGGGGTGATGGGGGAGGGAAGAGAAGGGGGGCAGGTAGGCTCTGGGCCAACTCAGCACCCTGCCCAGCCCCGGGCTGGATCTCTGCAGGATCAGGCCCTGTGCTACCAGCCGATCCCCTGGGAGGGCTGGGGACAGGGCACGCAGGGACAGACAGGAGCAGAGTGGGTTGACGCCTGCTGTGCGCATGGAGCTGCTGCTGGCCCAAGGCCTGCATCTCATCCCCTCTACCCCAGCCCTTTAGTTTGTATTTTTATAAATATATATAGAGAAATATATATGATGCAAAGTGCAATAGAGACGAGACCCCCGCATTGGCCGGGAAGTCCTTGTGTCTCCGTCTCCCCTCAGACTGTAACTTGTTCTCTTGGGTTTCCTGGAGCTACAGGACAGGGTGCTGGGGCATTTAGGTTTTTGTTTTGTTCTGTTTTTTGGGTTTTTTTATTATTATTATTTTGCTGTTTCTCTGTTTCCTGTTGAGGGAACCGTATCCTGCTGCCCCTCGGGTAGGGCTGCCCTGTGGTTGCAGGGCGCTGCCTGCCCTTCGAGGCAGCTCCCCGACTGTGCCAAACGTTTGGACCTGCTGGTGTTTCTTGTGCCGCGGCCACAGCTTGGTGATCGGGGGGAGCACGTCTCTATTCACCGTTGGAGTTCAATAAGCCACTGTGGACGCTGCATCCCCTGTCTTCGCTCTAGTAGAGGTTTTGAGAGCTGAGCACCGAGACAGCCGAGTCCCCTGCCAAAATGCCATCCGCGTGGCTGATTTCTTGGTCCGAGTGAGACGGCGGTTTCCCTTGCTGGAGGGCTGCCTCATGCCATGGCTGGTCAGCCCAGCCTTTTCTTTCCTCCCAGGTCAGCAGAAGCTCTCAGGATCTGGTGCACTTCCCTGGCCAAAAGCCAAGAGGTGAGACAAGGTCTGGCCAGTTTTGTCCCTTCTCCCCTGTTTCTGCCTCCCCCCTTTGCCGGAGGGGACGGGTGCCACCTCCTCCAGGGAAGGGGGGCAGGGGAGCCCCCTCCTCCCGCCCGTCCTCCCAGGCCTTGGGGGCTCCCTGCGGCGTTCCTGCTCTGTATGGAGAAGTCCGAGTTTGTTTTTTCCACCCCAGGGAGACGTTTCACGTGCCGCACTGAACGGCAGCGGGGACGCGGGCCCAGCCTGGGAACGGATAGGGCTGGCGGCGGAGGGGCTGGGGCAGAGGAGC